AAAAAAATACTGTGGACAAAAACAAACGGGCAAGAATAAAAACCGAGAGAAAATTGCTCAAGAACAATGATAAAACGAACTCGTCTGATGGATAGCCTTCTGCGCCGCGTGCGTGTTGGTCCCTGAATTATCCGGACTAACCAGACTCCTGAACGATATATTTCAACATGCACCGCGCATAGAATGCATTCAAAGTTACCTGATGACTTGGAGGAGGAAAATGATGTTGGCGGTTCGCTGCTTTACCCACTCACCACCATCGGGCTCTTCTTCACTTCCGTACAAAAACGCATTCAGAACGACACACAAGCGAGCAATAAGACTAAAAACAAGATTCGTAAAACAAGAGGGTAAGGCAATGGTGGGAAGGCTCTTGAAGAAAAGTTACTTATTTTCCCGAAAAAGTTGCTGGTTCATGGCATTTTTCCTAAGCAGATTCAAAATGACAAACAGACAATCTTCGATTATGATGCCTGTAAAAATGCGGAAATTACGAAAAACAGAATATAGCCACCAAAGAAACTCACTATCAAGTGGCTCAGTATCTATGATATCCAACAGATGAACAAAGGTATTTTCGTACGCAAGAAGTTGCTGGATCTGAAACAGGACTACATAGGGGAACCTGCAATCAAGTAAAGTTGAAATAGAGTGAGCCGCACGCAAAAAAATCAAAAAAAAAACTAATGATGTGTACCTGTGAATTTGAACGGCTCAGCTCACATAACATCAAAACTGCCTCGTTTCGTACTACTTCACGTCGGTCGTGCACGATATCTACGAGATGTGGAACACCGGTGGGTTGGGCCATCACTGCTGCTTGTACTTCAGGGCCCCGATGGCGGAGCAGGGATGTTAGAAGTTGTATTCCTACCCTATAAAAGACGAAAGTAAATTTTTTGAGAAGGTAATCACTTAAAAAAAGTCATCACACTACCTCCTGACAGTGATATCATAGTCATCTATAGCAGCAAGCAGTGATGGTATGAATACAGGCTTCTTTAGCATGACCTGAAACGAGTAAAAAATTTAGAGATGAGAATAAGTTCAACTATACGTAGCCTCGCAGTCATCGCAAACATAGATTGAATACGTAAGTCAATCATATATTACCGGTGTTACCCATAAGAACTGCGCCACCTGCGTTATCTGTCTACCAGAGTTACTCACGTTACCATGTTACGAGCTTAATCGTGCTATATCAATGTTACCTGTAACTGGTATCACTAGTGTTACCGCTTTTTACTGTTGATTAGTGGAATGATGCTTGCTCCAGCCTCATTTCTTCGAAAACAATCTCAGCGATTCGGTGTTTTACGTAACACTAGTAACGCTGGCAACGCTGGTAACAGGACAATATTGATAAGGCTAGGTTCATACTGATCCGTAAGTCCGGGAACAGTTC